ATCACTCTACACACCCATCTGGAATTTTCTGGGTATACATTATTTAGGTGTGAATGTGTCTGAGATACAATGTTACCAATGAGCTATTTACATCTTAACTTCTACCATCTAATATTTATGCACTTGAAATTTTTAAAAATACCTTTCACATTATTTTGACTACCTCCCATTCGTTTTTCGATGGGGTAGACTAATTACATTTAAACAATAAGATCAATTTAACTCATAGTATCGCCATGAAGTCAGCATAGAGAGTTATCCTTGCTCTCATTTCTAGCTAAGAAAATAACGGAGGGGGCTACATAACCAGCCCATGGTAAAGCTCAAGCCGCAGCCTAGGCCTATGGACCCTCTCCCAGGCACCTTCCAGTACTTCTCCAGCAGTAGTGAGTGTGTTTGTTTGCCCACACACAGCAGTATTACAAAAAAGAATGAGGGAGAATAAGAAAGAAAAGAGGGAGGAGAAATAATGGGGAAAAGGACAATGGTTACAGCTAAAACTTCGGTCAAAAAAAGAATGATGGTAAGAAGCAGAAGGGGGAAGAGAGACATGTTGTTATTAAAGCTGATGTTCATGATCATGAATGCATGTGTCAACATTTAATACTTGTCTTATAAATCTTCCAGATTTAGGCCGGGCGCCATGGCTCATGCCTGTAATCCCAGCACTTTGGGAGGCTGAGGCGGGTGGATCGCTTGAGGTCAGGGGTTCAAACCAGCCTGGCCAACATGGTGAACCCCCATCTCTACTAAAAATACAAAAATTAGCCGGGCATTGTGGCAGGTGCCTGTAATCCCAGCTACTAGGGAGGACGAGGCAGGAGAATCGCTTGAACCCAGGAGGCAGAGGTTGCAGTGAGCTGAAATGGTGCCACTGCATGCCAGCCTGGATGACAGAGCGAAACTCCATCTCTAAATAAATAAATAAATATCTTCCAGATTTACCACATCAACAATGCAAGACAGCTTCACAGCAACTGGGCTTCTTGTGCAAGGACCTCAGCACTTGCTTGCCACCCTCCCAGCTGTGTAATGGCAAACTGAACTGCAGTCAAGGGGAAGACGAATCTGCTACCTACTGTGGTAAGGTGGACAAGTAATTATTCAGAATTATATGAAAACATTATTGTACGTGAATGCTTTCTATTAGAATTAATGCCTTTGTCTAATACAGGTCAAATGTCCAACAGAGTTCTCCCATAAAACCTGACATTCAAGTGTCCCAACCAGAAGATGTGGACATATATGGACAAGGTGTGTGACACAAGAAATGACTGTGGTGATTGCTCAGATGAATCAGGTAAAAATGAAAATATGTCATTAATTTTTTAATGGCTTCTTGGAGTGGCTACCCTTATACTTCAATTACATAAATTAACTCATGCTTACAAGCCTTCCTTAAGGATACATCCATGATTTGAAGATTCTATCATTTCCAGTAGTTTGTGCATATTTAAACTAGATGAATTCTCTAGCTAAGAATACAGCCAGTTCTGTAAGAATCACCAAAGGAAATAATCTTGATAGACAACTCTTATCTGCTATCAAATTCCTTCTATATTTCTTTACAAATGTTGGTGAAGATCAAACAAAATTCTGTTGAGTGCTTTGGCTCTCAAAAAATTTTTTAACTTTGCCATTTCCTTGCTTTTCCTCCCTCACTTTCTTCCTTCTCTCCTCCCCTCATTCTGTTCCCTACAGTTTAATACTTGGCAAACACCTGATCACCCCACAATCTCATAAAACCGTGGCAGAGGTGCAATTCCAATACCTCGTGGCCCCAATTAATATCTGAAAGCCCTATCAGAAATACATTAAATAGATAATTTCCTGCCTTTTGTCTGGTCATTGTGGAGGGTAGAAATAGAAATGCTAGGAATTACAGATAACAATGCTCTGGCAAATAAAGACTAAAATTATAAGGAGATCCTTTTCTTCTTGCTAGCTGCCAATTAGCAGTGATTCTTTTCCCTGCTGATTGAACATACAAACTCAAAGGTACCCTTTCTTATTATGTAATACGTCAGTATGTTTATTTTTAGGCTGATGGTGAGGGGTAGTACTTGTCTTGGCTTTTCAAAGTACAAATTCTTTCACCCAAACATGCAGAATCTTTAATAAACATCTGCAATTTCCCTGCTGGGCAGTTTTCACAAATATTTTTAAGATCCAGGGGGCAATTTCTTTTCCAATAATATCTTTTTCAGTCTACCTTGACATTTTAACAGTTATGGTTTTAAAAATAAATAAAATTGTCTAGTTTTACAGTGCCCAAAGTGCTCAGGCTGGAGATGTGATACTGTTTTCTTTGCTGACTGTGCCTGCATTCCCAGAACTCACTGCAAAAATGGCATTCAAGACTGTGCTGATTGCAGCGATGAAAACTGATGTAAATAGACGACTTTTCTAATCATTTTTTTGGAAAAGCTGAAAACTGCTATTAGTTGCCTTAATACTTCTCTCAAAAAAAGTATATTATATATATGTGTGTAATATATATAACATATATATTATATACAATACACATACACTCAACTCATATATATCTTACTGGGATGGCAGAGGGAGGGAAGAGCTACTGAAGAACACGAATCCAGCATTAATGGAGAAAAAAATGATTAGCAGAAATCAGACCAAAATCTTACTTTCAGTTCATTTCTGTTTCCAAATTTTAGAATGTAGCTTTCTGTTCTGTGAACCATAGGGTTATGGGAATGAAACAAATGTATTTTAGCTCAATTATTTCAACAAATAAAGGGTATTAATCCTAAAAGCTCTCAGATCAAAACAGATGTCTGTTTGTTTCCAGCTGAAAATGGGTTTGTTCCAGTCTGCCCCTCTAGTCTGCCAGGGTCTAAAATTCTTTCCAGCAGGTAGTGAACTTGAAAGAGCAGACATGGATTTGAATCTCATCCTAACACCTGGGGGGCTGTGTGACCTGAGGTAAGTAATTTCACCTCTTAAAGATAATTTTCTTGTCTGTACAATGAGGCTCTTTCTTGGGGTTATAAGCAAAGACGACACAAAACAGGTGGTAGAGTGCTTTTTATATGTAATAGCAGCTAAAGGGACTGTAGACAATTAAAGAAAAATTGCAAGGATATGGTAGATTGTATTATTATCCAAAAATATCTGCTACCCTGGAGGGTTATACTTCCCCAGTCTCACAGCCACTACTATGCACGTGACTTGCTTTGGCTAAGGAAGTTTATTAATGATATGCATCACTTCCCAGCATAACTTTGAAAGAGCCAGCTGATTGTTCTCCATCTTTTCCCTATCATGAGACTGGCAATGTCCCAGTTAGATGTTTCTGAGTACAGCAGAGCCCAACCATGGGCAAACCACAAACTTCAAATGTGACAAACCTTTTTAGCAACTAGACTTTTGGTCCTTTCTAGCTGTGACACAACCCTACCTATTTTGATGTTGAAGAGACAACAAGAAAAACTTGCCAAATTAATCCATAGCCACCAATACACACCCTTATTTACACAATAAGCTGAAGAAATAATTTTAGATTGTTGGAAAGAAGTTGCTGAGTGCAGGCACAACAGGCTTAACCTTAGACATCTGTCCAATAAGCAAGATATGCTGGGACAGGCCTCACCTGGAAATCAATTGCACTTCTGTTTAGTCCCTTTCTGCTAGGCCTAGATCAAACCGGAAAGATATTCAGACAGTGGCATTCTCCACAAGCTTGTCAGTCAGTCAGTCACCCCCCAATGCTTCTTCAAATGAGAATGTTTCCAATCATGCTACTCAAAGCAGGGCCAGTAGGCCAGTAGCATTAGCATCATCTGGGAACTTGTCAGAAACATAAATCCTCAGGCCCCATGCCACTGCCCTCCAGCTTAGCCATTCCACTTGCTTTGGTTATGTTTGTAACAGCTTTAAGAGCCAGCAAGCACATGACCCACCATCTTCTCTGCCAGGAAGCTGAATGTCCCAGACAGGTGTTGACATCAGTGTGGGACCTAGCGTGACTATATAAGCACAGCCCAACCTGACCCACAAGAGTCTGCAAATGTGCATTTAGTTTTTATAATTTTGTTACAGCTGAGACTTCAGGATTCTTCTCACTGTAGCAGTGTACTTCAACAAAACTGATAAACATCCTGAGGAAAATACAATGTAAATATGTGCAAATACTATTTACTCAAAACTTTGTTTTCCCTACAGTTAATAGCGGCTTTTAGATACAGCTGTATAGTACTTTCAAAAGGTACTTGCAAATTGCTATGAAAATTTAAAATAAATTATCATTACAAGTAGAAACTTTTCTTCCTCAAATGGCCTTGGTTCAGATTACACAATTGTTTTAATTGTAATTTGTAAAAATGTTTAAAGTAACCCGATGTTGAGGGATTTCTGGGACCATGAGACTGGTAACCTGATTATGGTGGCAGACATTACAAATTCTTTTAACTGTATATGCTCAATTTTATTGTACATTTTTTATTAAATAAAAACATAACCCTATTCATTAGTGTTGCCACTTAAGGTAAAGACAGTGACCCAGGAGCCACTCCTATTCTAAACACTACCTTTTCCAAGTCACCTTATAAAATATCCTACAAAGAAGGGATCTGGAGATTACTTTTACTTTTTAGAAGTTCTAAACCTCAGGTTACATCTACAAAAAGGAACTATTAGTTCTTCACAAGTTGAGGAATAAAGGAGGTAACACCAAGGTAATTCAGAAAAGGCACTTAACATACGCCTGTAATAGAGAATATCAGGGGGAAGAGTCTGTTTATCTACTCTATTCTCGTATTTAAACCCACCACATACCATGGAAGCACTAAGGACTGTTGGAGAGAAAAGTTTTCACACATGAGAACTTTATACTACCTTTGTTACACTACACTGTAATTTAAAATCTTTAATCAAATCCCAAAGGTTATCAGCCATATTACATACCATGATTAGCTTTCTATAAGCAATTTTTTTTACTGTGTACAGATCGGTGTCAAAAAAATTAAAAAAAAAAACCTGTATACTAGGCAAAGAACTTTATTAACCTTTGTTTCAAACTTGATTCCCAGGCTTCTTCGGCTTAATTAGCTGCAAAGAATGAATTGTGTATAAGCAAAAACTGAAAAGAGCTGCAGTGTCCAAGGGGCTTGGGCTTAAAAATATTAGAGATCTAGAGTTTATCAGATCCATAAACAAAAATTTCTTAAAAAGCAGTCATAATATAAAATAGCAGCTCCCAGTAACTTCTTCAAGTTTTATCTTCAGAAGTTGACTCAATTCAGTTTGCCTCATTCTTGGAAGCCTCATCAAAATTCTCCACAAGATCTAGGAAAAGGAAAAGAGTAGAAATTCTTAAAAAAGCCAAATCTACAAATCATCATCAATCTTAAAAGACGATGAGGGAAAGACATTCATTTGCCAGTGATGATAAATACTGTGTCACAGCCCCAAGAACAAGAATGAAGGGGAGAAAA